GAATTAGATTTAGCCCATTACATTGTGCCAGATCAGTGCTCATTCAAGGTGGTACCATCCAAAATTGAGGTAAAGCTGAAGAAACGTGATGGGCTAAGATGGACAGTGTTGGAAGGAAATCCAGTCGCTGGAGACGCTGTAAAATCAATACCAGATGCAATAATGAGAAATGAACCGCCAAAGTATCCAAGTTCGAGTAAAAAATCAAAAGACTGGGATCGAGTAGAAAAGGAAATCGAGAAGGAAGAGGAGGAGAAGCCCCAGGGAGAGGCTGCTGTCAATGCACTCTTCCAGAAGATTTATGGAAGTGGATCTGATGAAGTTAGACGTGCTATGAATAAATCATTTGTAAGTGATAAATTATAAAATAATTATCGACTCACGTACGTCTTCCTCCCCTCGTATCTCCTATAATTTTCCGGACAAATTATGCAATAAAAATTATATAGACTGGGATGAAAGAAAAGGTGGAACTTCTTTTTCAGCAAGTTCTCATTTTTTGTCTTCTTTTTTCAGCAAGAATCTGGGGGAACTGTCCTGAGCACAAATTGGAATGAAGTTAGTAAGGGCAAGGTGGAGACAAAGGCCGCAGATGGTATGGAATGGAAAAAGTGGGACTCATAACATGTATTCCCTTTTAATTCTCGCATTAATCGACTTTAAGAAGGAATTGTTCATTTAAGATCCGTGTTCATTCTTCTATTGATCACCACCTTCCAAATTAATTGATTAATTAATGACTGCTCTCATTCTTCAATTTAATTATCTGATCCATCATTGTAAATTCCATAATTCCACTGCGTTGCTGAGTTCAATGTAAATAAAAACCCCTAGAAATTCGGAAATGTCAATTTATTTTACAATATACAAAGTCTCCACTCCAATCTATCACTCTATCTATATTACAATGCAATATCTGGCAAGTATTAATAAATTTCCATGAAAAAATCAACAACTATGAACTGATTCTCCCTAAAACATAGCATACAAAAACTATCGCTCCGATAACAATGACCCTATCATTTACAATTTTTGAAGTAGGCTGAGGGGGTGAAGTGTTGACGACAGGTGCTGGTGCAACTGATTGATTTCTCCAAGAGGTGAAAAACCCCTGTTGTTTATTGATACTTTTTTCTAAAGAATTGAAGTATTCTCGAAACAATGTTTCATTTTTCGTCTGGCCCGTTGCGATCACATGCCGAACATCAGCTATCCTTCGATTATTATAAATCATCGATCCCCCAAGGGACAAGACAGCTATTCCAGCAGAAGCAAGAATCGATAGATATCTGTATTTCTGGGCATTCATGGACTGGCTGTCATGATACTCTTTGATGGCAGTGGCCAATTGTGTAAAGTGATCTCTCTCTTCATTCTCCAACAATCGTAATTGTCCCATGAGACGGCCCTGTTCTTGCAGTCCTTTATTTTCCATTATCGTCAACTGAACGTACTTTGAATCCTCTCGCTTAGTCTGGATGAGTTCCCCATATATATCTTTCAATTTTTCCGCCACCATTCGTGTCTGGTTCATGAGATCCCTGCGCTGATCCTGACACTGGAATAATTTATCCTGAACTGCTATTACCTGTCTCTTCGCCAATTCCACGTCCTCGAGACCTGTCAGCTGTTGATACCATTTCCACCAGTTTACTAATTTCACTGGAATCGGGGTGGAAGGCTGGAGGGCGGCTTTATGGAAGTCCTGGATTATTGTGGTCGTGTTACCATGGACTTGCTGGTAATAAAAATGCAATTAAAATGCAAGCTCTTTGCTTGAATTTCCAGGAAATTATTCATCCATTCAAAAAATCAGATTAGATGTATTTACCTTCACTAAAGTGTCATATTTTTCGGTGGCTTTATTCTGAAGATGTTGAGCTTTTTCTGTTGCGCCTTCCACAACACTCGTCAGCAATGGAGATCGATTGATTCTCGACGTCAGAGCATCGAGTAATTTTCTTGATTGCCCTGACATTATCAAAAATCGATTTCCAAAATATTCTCCAGCCAATTCAACTCCGGAATTATCCGGCACTTACAGGTTAGAATTCACATCGTGATTGACACCATGTACTTGGGCTGATCTCCACTGCCTCCACTGGATGCAATATGTGAGACGATCGCAATTATGGAAACACGGTATTATTATTGTTTTGCATGGACAGCTGCAAGTGGAGGGGCTCAAAAATCACATGTGCATTCAGAATCTGAAACCAAGCGATAAGGTATCATGTATTTTTTTTCTTTGTCAGCGTCACTCAGTTAACCATTGTCCTCTGGCAGCGCTGCTCATAACCACATCCTGTTTCCATCAATTATTTCAATTGATTTCTCACGAATATGCACTGTTCCATCCTTGCATCCCAGCCTCCCTGTACGTATCATATTCACGAAAATTTTGTTACTACTTAATTGTAATGCATTAACTCAGGATTGTTAAGAGAATATTAATAAATTGTTATCGTATTCAACAGGGCGGGGAGGATGACTAATCGTCGAACGAATAAAACCATCATAATATCCGATTCAGATGAAGAATATAATCCAGCTCCCAAGAAAAAGGTTGTCACCAAGAAGAAGCCAAAAGTGCTTAAAATATCGGATTCCGAAGGGGAATCGAAAAAAGTGAAACCAAGAGCCAGTAAAAAAGCAAGAGAGACCACAGGAAAACCTCTATCCGATGAAATCAAAGTTTCATCCTCAGAGACAGTAAAGAAATCTAGGAAAAGAAAAAGTGAGGAGTCAATAGAGATGGGGGGATTATTCAGTCAGACAACAAAATCCAGCGAATCGAAGAGAGTGAGAACACAGGAATTTCTTGCTGGGTCTCAAGTTTATCCAAGAAGCGTCTATCCAACATTAGGTCGTCCTCAAGAACAACCAATCGTCGGAAGAAGACTTATCTCTCCAACTCGTTCTCAACCAAGTTTCCACGAACCTCCCAAAAAATACACGTCTTGCGAGTGGACTGACGTCGATTATATCGAAGTGCAACACGGAATCAGCCGATCATTAGCTCAAATACTCGTTCAATTCTTTGTAGCTGACAATACAGTGCCTTTTATAGCGCGATATCGAAAAGCAGCGACGGGTGGTCTCGAAGCTGATGAGCTGAGGTTAATAAAAGAGAGCTTTGACAGAGTGAAACTGATACAACACAAAGCGGATGTTGTGATAAAAGCCATTGAGAAGGTTAACAAGTGGACACCGGAGATCCACAGGACAGTTAAATCAATAAGATCTTTGAATGAGCTGGAGCATATCCACAGCCTCTACAAGACCACTAAAAAATCTCTAGCAGAACGGGCAAGAGATCTCGGTCTCGAGCCCACAGCCATACTTGTCCTCCGTGGAGGGGCCATTCCACACCTGGCGAGTTTTATCAATATCTCGAAAGAAGGCCTTCAGAATGAAGAACAGATAAAAGAGGGCATTGTTTGCATCATAGCTGATATAATAAACAAAGATAAAAGGGTATTCGACAAGATAAACGATTTGCGAAGCGAAATATCGATCCAAATACAGACCAAGAAGACGAAGACTTCCGATGAAGCAGACGCCAAGGCTGATGACAAGGCAATTAAATACGATATGTATTACGATTGGAATTCCTCGGAGAAAAATATAAAACCTCATCAGACACTGGCAATCAACAGGGCTGAATCTCAGAAGATTATCACAGTCAAGCTGATTATTCCAGATTATTTTGAGGTATCTATGAGGAAATTTGTGTTGGATTTGTATGGTTTTGCTTTGAGGGCTTCGGCTCTTCACGCTCAGCTGATTAATGAGGCCTTCAATCATGCCTGTAAGAAGTCGATGAAACCCTCAGTGGCGAGAAGAGTGAGGAGTGAAATGAACGAGAAAGCTGAGGAAGCCTCGATGGAGGTCTTCGCTACGAACGTTAAGCAGCTGCTGCTGGCCTCACCAGTCCGGGGTAAGGTGGTCCTCGGTATTGATCCAGGTTTTGCTCATGGTTGCAAATTGGCTGTTGTCAGTCAGCAGGGGGATGTTTTGGAGACAGCAACCATTTATCCACATAGGAAAGATGGAAGGGGACGTCAAGAGGCTATAGCTAAACTGTCCTCACTTGTACGTAAACATCGGTGCGATGTTATTGCGTTGGGAAATGCAACTGCATGTCGAGAGACTGAGATTTTTCTGTCGGATATCGTCAAGTCTGGGGTATTTGCACCACTCGATGTGACTTATACAATTGTTGATGAGGCTGGGGCATCGATTTACAGCTGTGGCGCTGAGGCAAAAGCGGAATTTCCGAAATTGGATTGCAATGTCATATCGGCGATATCAATTGCTAGGCGGCTCCAGGATCCACTTGCTGAACTCGTGAAGATTGAGCCCAAGCATCTGGGGGTGGGAATGTATCAGCATGATTTGCCGGAGAAACAACTCATGACGAAGCTGAATGAGGTGGGTGCTGGCAAGATCTTGAATCGTTTTGTTTCTTTAGTCGTGTCGCAGCCTTGCCTTTCCCTTTCCATCTGAGGGCATATGATTTTTATAATTCATATAAATAAGATGGAATTTAATTCAACGTATCGTAAGGTTTTTATATACTTTGCATGCGCTGTATATTTAGTATAGAACGTATAGCAGTATCTTTGGTTTATAAAAACTAGTCGGGATAATCTGTAACTAGAATTTCCATCAAATCCTCGTAGTCGCGGTATCGGATTACAAACAACTATTCTATTATTTCCCCACGAGTACACTTAACGTCATTTCCATATTTGTTTGTCAGGTTGTTATGGAAGCTGCGAGTTTCGTCGGAGTTGATGTTAATACAGCTTCACAGTGTTTACTGAGACGAGTGGCTGGATTGTCGGAGACAAAAGCAGCGAATATAATTGAATGGAGAAGAGAGAATGGGCCCTTTGTCAATCGTAATCAGTTAATGAAAGTCAAAGGTATTGGGGCCAAGACTTTTGAGCAGTGCGCGGGATTCATTAGAATTCAACCAGAAACTTCAGTATCAAAAATGTCAGGCGGAAGTAATTTGATAGGATTCAATTACTTGGATCAGACGTGGATTCACCCAGAATCCTACTCTGTTTCCAATTCGTTGATCAATGATTGTGGCCTCGACGCCAAGAACATTGGCAGTAGACCATTTATCATCGCCATCAAGAATTATGCTCTTCGGGGGTACGAGTTTCTCACGAAAAAATTAAAAACTGATGACACGACTCTGGAAATTATTATCAAAGGTCTTACCATGGCTAGAGATGAGGACATTAGAAGTCAGAACAATGCGCCATTGTTCAGGAAAAGCTTGAGAAGCATTGATGATTTGGTTATTGGGTCTTTATTGAGTGGTAAAGTCAGAAATGTCACGCACTTCGGGGCTTTTGTGGATGTTGGAGTGGGTAAAGATGGACTCATTCATGTGAGTCAATTGAAAGGGGAAACTTTGAAGATTGGCCAACGAGTTGACGTCAAAGTACAAAATATTGTGAAGGAGAGAGGGCGCATTGGTTTGATTTTAATTACAAGTTATTAATTCGAACTTTTCATATTATTGGGAAGACAAAAAAGCGAATTAAGTGACTGACATCATACGATAAAGCAGAGGGAATTGTAAAGTGATTTTGATTAAGAACGGCTCATGGCTCCAGTTGTTGATTTCATTACTTTACATTGTGTAAGCTACAATGAACGGGCAACTGTAGTCAGATTTTTTTTCTCTTGATATTATTTTTCTATTTGTTTCTGAAGGTAAGGGACAACTGTTCAATAGAAATTCTATTGATCATTGAGAACGAGTTGATTCATTTGTTGTGGACCACCAGGTGTACGTGTCCACGAGTACTGTGAATTGTTATTGAGTGACCTTTCCACTTCACGTGATATTCGTTTCATTCAAA